AAAGCTCTATATCTTTATGAGTCTGACGTAAAAAGATCTTACGAGACTTGGTACTTCTCATTTTCCTTTTTTATTCATTTTTCCTTACTCTTCTCTCTCTCTCTCTCTCTCTCTCTCTCGAGAGAGAGAGAGAAGCTTTTTTTTTATTACTTTTTATTTATTTTTAAGAACTCGAACGTGAGAAGGGTAGAAAATTATTTTATGAACACACACACACACATTTCTTTTTCTTCAAGTAAAATTCATCCCGTTCTAAATGAAAAAAAAAAAAAAAATAGTAATAAAAATAATAATAATATCAGAATAAGTGAATCATGCTATTATTATAATTTTATATTAATAGACTATATATAAACATGTAATAATATTCATAAGATTAAAAAAATAAAAGAAAGGAATAAAATCATGTTTAAAGTGTGTTATCTAAATTAATTTTATTATAAAAGTCATTTTATCCACTTTCGATGACATATTTATCTCTCTCTCTCTCTCTCTCTCTCTCTCTCTCTCTTTCCCACTCCTATTTTTTTGCTTTCTTCTTTTCTATATATATATATATTTCCATTTTCTTATTAAATCTGACAGTTCTCATATATAAGTTAAACGTACCCTTATTCGAACGATGACTTTGAGAAATCCCAATAAAACAATATTTGTTTGATTTTATCGTTGAGAATAAAAATATCAAGTAGTATAGTCACGAAATGTCAAAGATTTTGATATTCTTATTATATTTGATAGTCAAGTTGTTTAATAGGCAAATTTAAAAGTTCTCTCTTGAAAAGAAGAAAAAAAATGTTAATTCTATTTAAATGAATAATATTTTCTTTCGACGAACACGTTATATAAACTTTCTCTTATCTTCTTTAGCTTCTAAGTTATTCATATTGGTTTATGTGTATATATTGGGTAGAACTCGAGTAATAAATGATAATTTAATTTTCACGTTATTTTGAGTTTTTTTTTTCGATACTTATTCTTCTCCTATTTATTTAATAAGAAAATTAATGTTATTTATATATAATCGACGATTAATTTCATTTCGATAATAAAATATTCCCCTCCCTCCCAAAAAAACCTGTCCCATTGAAAACAAAATATAAAATATAAAATACAAATAGATATATATAGTTATATAGTTAAAAAAAAAAGAATATAAGACGTATCTCGTATTAAAGATAACGAAATATCAAATATTTCAAAGCTTTTTTTTCGCTTCTTACTTTTAAAATAAGATGATATATACTGAAAGTTTGAAAATAATATAATATAAATTTACATCCTTCCTATCTCTATTTTTCTCTTTTATTTATTTTTATTTTTTGNTTCCTATCTCTATTTTTCTCTTTTATTTATTTTTTTTTTTTGCCTCTTTTTATTTTTTTTTCCTATTTTTTTTTTTTTTTTTTATTTTTTCTCTCTCTCTCTCTCTCAATATTAGCTTCCTCTTTCCGTTTTGATTGAAATAACAAAAAAAAAAATAACTAAAAAGAAAGGAAATATAATGAGACATAAACAAGAGAGGAAGGAACACTGTATAATAAAACGATGATGTGATCGTATATCACAGCATTATTCAAAATTTTTTATGACGCTTATTGCGATACCTGATGGAAAAAAAATCTATCCATCCATTTATCTATCCATCCATCCATCTATCCATCTATCTATCCATCTATCTTTATCTTTATCTCGCTCGATATCCATTACGAGGTGTAACGTTCGACACACTTTTTAATCTCGTGTGTCATAAAGAGCCTTATTAACGTATGCACTAGGTTATATTTCGCTAAAAGTTCCAAAAGAGTCAATCGTATTATAGTTCTACGTAAAAATATATATCCCTGTAGTGATCAGTACGCGTACGATCATTCCTATGGTCGGCCATGTTTTTTTTTTTTTAAGTAGAACGTGTAACGCAATGGTCAGACATTTTTATGCGAGTAATAGCAACGTTGAAATTTGGGATTGTTTTAAGTAGATCATTCGATGAAATAATTGGGGTTGGACACTTTTAACCCTTTCAATGTTGAATACTTTTAACTTAAGTGTTTTATACGAATGAAATAATTTATTATTTAATGTGTGACCAGATATGCTAATATTAATCAATTATATTTAATAAATATAATTTTTGTTTTTCATAATATTATTTTCATCTGAAAAGATACAAACAAAAATATAACATTATTTTACATTCACATTGAGCAAACGCATATATGCGTCTATAGCACTCAAAGGGTTAAAAATCAACCTATATTTTGTCAAAATATTATTTCAATTTTATATATTACGTGTATATCAACACAGAAATTTTAAATGAGTCAAATTATCACAGTACGTAAATCTAATGTTAAATAATAAAATTAAACGCAAAGATACATGGTGTGTATATCTTTAATTATAAGATTAATGATGAATTAACATTATTAATTATCTTTATTAACACACACACACACACGTTTTTCATTTATAAAAAGTTAATTATAGCATTTTCTCGTGTTGTATGATACATATGCATAATTAATTAAAATATAATTTAAATCTGTGTTATATATAATATATGTAGTTTATTAAAACAACGGATTAATTATTTAAATGGAATAAAATAACTAATGACGATGATAACGATATTATCATAATAATTATGATTAAAATATACTGACGAAGTGAAGTAAATGGTAGTAGAATTATTTTATGTTCAAAGGAATAGGAACATAACTGAGACGTATATTGTTCTAAGGAAGAAATACATGGTGATACACGTGTCGTTACATGTTGAACAAGAGTTTAAACGTTATTCGAGTGTCGGAAGTGTTTATCTCTCTTTCTCTAATATACCGGAAGTACTATATACGCCCATTAGGTATCATCATTTAACCTGGATTCACGTTAATTACGAAAGATATATAATTGGATTTTTTAATGTTTTTGCCTGAGAGACCAAAAATTGTCATTATTTTACTTACAAACGTTTTTTTACAGAACATTTTCATTCTTTACAATTATTGACTTTAAAGTTTCGAAAGGAAAATCATGTTACTCGTCATTTGTACTTTGTTTCCTTTCTATTCCTAATATAATATATAATTTATTATTTTTAATAGAACTCTTTTTTCGAGAAGGAAATATATAAAAGAAAAAGAAAAAAAACAATTTCTCTTTTTCAAATTAAAACTTTAAGATAAAGAGAAAGAGAAAGAGAGAGAGAGAGAGAGAGAGAGAGAGAGAGAGGATTTTTCTTTTTTTAATTTAAACTTCGACAGTAACGATTCTTCTTTTTGTTTTTTGAATATTTCTTCAACAAAATTATCTAATATTTTCATTTCATTTTTAATCGATAACATTTTTATAAATAAGACTTCGTTTTTGTTTTAATGAATAATTTTGAACGAGATATTTAATTTTTTATTATAAAAACATTATATATGTATATCTATTTCCGTGCTTATATTATTTACATGAAACATGATCGGTAGAAGAAATAATTCGTGCGTTCATTTAATTGAAATCGATACACGAATTCGTTCGTTCAATGCACGCATACGAGAGGGATTATAATATTTGGAGTAACGTTTTGCATTCATCGAATACGTTGATTTTAAATTTATTTTTTCGTTTCCATCATTTTCTCTCTCTCTCTCTCTCTCTCTCTCTCTCTCTCTCATTCCGAATAAAAAATTTAATTCAAATGTATACGCAGGCTCTTATTTATCCAAAGAAAAAACAAAACACAAAAGTGGTTCCTATTCATACCGAAAAGTTTAATTAGTAATCCACAAGTTTTATCGAAAAAACCAAAAAACAAAAAAACAAAAATAAATAAATAAAATCCTTTATAAATAATAAAAAGGAGAAGAGTGGGATCGTTTTCGATTCGTATAGAAAACTAACGTTATTAAACGATTATAAATTAAATGATACGAATAAATATTCGTTCGTTTCGTTGAAAGTTGAGGAAAAAAAAAGAAAAAAAAAAAAAAAAAAAAGGAAAAAAAAAAATATATCGATCGTTTTCAAGCGAAAAAAGTACACGATTTTATATACCTATATAAATTTTACGTGAGAACTATATTTCTAAAGTATATATACGTGTTCATAGAATATATTTCAAAGAGGAGGAACGTTTCAACTCGCGTGACAAGAACACGATCGTTGCTTCCTCCAAGCTCAATCCCAAGAGGTAAGAAATATTTTCGGTAAGGGATGTTTTTCCTAGCCGAATAGAAGACATTATTGAATCGATATCACCAACTATCGATTCAATATTATAGTAATAATAATAGATAGACGTATATATATATATACATAAATGCTTGAAATAAATTTTACACTTGATAGAATGATACCCTTTTTTTTTTATAGATTTTTCATCTATACGATAATAATAATAATAATAATTGTATGTATTATTATCTATAAATATTATTAATAATAATCATATATGAGATAATAATATCTCTCTATTATATTGATAATTGTTTTAGACACAAATGAACAAAAAACTTGCATGCAAATTTGTTGAATCTAAAAATCAAACATGTAACATAGTCGGCTTCAAACGATTCTTCAGAACTTTATTTGAGGTATCCTTATTGACGTTTTGACTGAACGTAGATAGCATTGGTATTGAAACCGGTGAGGAAGGGGTGGGGGAGGTTGGGGGGTAGGTAAGCCTGTTCAAAGGGATTCAAAGTCACCCTTGAAGTTTCCCCTCGCAGTACAGTCCCTTTTTTCCTTCTTCTCCTTTACTCTTTTCTTTATCTCGTAATTATTCGTGCATATATATGTAACCGGTGGGGATGGGGGAGGGGGAGGGGGAGGGGGTTAAAATAATAATGATTCTGTTTTTTGATCGCTGATGAATTGTTATATATATAAAAAAAAAAGGAATAAAATGATAAGAAAATGAATTGATGACCATAATAATTGAAGTTGGTAAAGAAAGAAAGAAGGAATGAAAGAAAAGAAAAGTGTGTAAGGTGAAAAAAAAAACTGACCTCTGAGCTAGTAGAAGTAGTGCTGTCAGCACTGTCAGTGTTGGCAACACTCGAAAGAGGTGACCTGTTCCCCCTTTGAGCCCATTTCCCTCTGATGATGGCCACTCCCGTGACCATGCCGATTTTGCTCGTCGCACTTCCACCACCACCACCACTCGTACCTTTTTCTGTAGTAGTATTTCCAGAACCACTTCGGCTCCTACCCCCGCCTCCACCACCACCACCACCACCTCCTCCTCCGCCGCCGCCGCCGCATGCTAACTCCAGAACATCCCCCAGGACTTCCGACAATTTATCCGGCACTTTGACCAGCGCGTCCAAGATCACGATTTTTAAGTTAAAGTAACGCGTACAATTTGTTCGTTTATTTTTTTTCTTTTTTGTTTTTCTTTGCGACTAATCTTCGATTGATTTTTTTTCCGTTTTAGAAATTGTTTTTTTTTCTTCTTTTTTTTTTTCTTATCTTTTTCTTTGCAAGTTTGAGAAAAAATTTGTCGAGCTTTGAATTGGAATTCGATTGGATTTATTTGTTTTTTCTCTTGACCGAATTTATTTAACAGGACGTTTGATTTAATTTTACGAATAATTTTTCGTACAATGTGAAATATGTATTTTTGAAGATTGATATTAATAATTTGTTGAGTTTAAAACGTAGGAACGAATGATTGAAGATTTTTATTATTATATTAGAAATGATTAATGATATTCGCGATAGAAAATTTTCGAAAAATTTGCGATAGTAAAGTTTACGATAATTATATTTGATATGTTTTATATTATCTCTTTCTCTCTTATTCTTCTTCTCTCTTTATTTCTCTTGATATTAACGCGAAACAAGTAAAATGAAAAATGTGAAACAAACGACGACGATAATACTAACTTTAAGTTTGGAATTTGGTTTCGAAACGAGAAGAGTTTGAATTTCCATGACGGTCTAAATGTGTATAATACTTGTGTTTGTAGGATTATATTATCCGTTGTTAAAATTTTCAATAGTTTGTTGCATTTAATTCGTAGAAATACCTCTTCTCTTTTTCAAATATTTACAATGTATTTGAAATAAAATCAAATTTCAACAGTAAATATATTACTCGAATAATATTTTTGAGAATATATGTTTTTTTTTTTTTTTTTTTTTTTTTTTTTTTTTTCGAAAACTCGAGAACACAATTCAAAGTATAAATTGTAAATAGTATTTTACACAATGTTCAGTTTAATAAAAAAAAATAAAAATTTAGCGAACGTGTCGATTCTAGACTTGTAAGTCTGACTATGTTTACGTTTTTACTACTTAACAGGTCCGATGCAGTAAGTAGTATAATCAATGTTTAAGAAGACCACAGATTATTCTTTCTATTTGTGTTCTTAACTTTTATTTAGTGAAAAAAGTTACGTGTTCGAGTACGATCGAGAGAAATAAAGAAAATATATAGAACGACCAAGGAATCACAATTATTTTCTATCTATAGAGAGAAAAAGAGAATGAAAGAGACAGAGTAATAAATATCAAAGAAAAAGATAGAAATAGAATGATAGGGAAATAAATCGACCATCTGTTTCGTTAAATCGATATTTACCTTAATTGCTATATTAGTCGATGTCAAACCCATGAACTTTTTTCCTAATTTTACGAATATATATAAATAAAATGTTCATTAAAATAATAAGAGAATAAACAAAAAAATAATATAAATCTCGCGTTCACAGAGAGAAGAAAAATTAATTAAATTACGAATAAAATAAAAAAGAGAAAGAGATAAAAAATAAAAAACAAAAAAGAGAAAGAGAGAGAGAGAGAGAGAGAGAGAGAGAATGGGAGAGAAATAGAGATAGAGAGAGTAGTAAGTCTGTTCGTCGTTTTAGATTCCATCTTGTTAATTTTCTTAGTCCTTTCCCATCGCCGTCATTATAATTAGATTCACGATCGTGCCATGGACTAAATTAGGTTTAATAAACGGCTCG